TCTTATTCTTCGTTTTTGTATGAAATATTTTTTGTATATTTAAAGTAAACAGTTATTGTGCGTTTTTATTTCTTTGAAAGAACAAAAATAGAGTAAGGTGGATTAATAAAATACAGGATGTTCTACAATAAAAAAAACTGAAATATCGATATTTGAAAATTGTACCATTTTAGAATTTTTTGTAAACACTGCATTTTAAAATATGATTTAATTGATATAAAGTGAGTACCTCTGTTTATCTCTCCATATAATATTACAATGTAGATCTAACAATAACATTATTGTAGTTTTTGTGTAAACCCTTGCATTACTAAAACGTGACAATGTCGCATCGAGATTTCCAAAATGATTGTTAAACCTAGGAAGAAGAAGCTAATGAGAAAATGTAATGTATGTTCTATTTAAAAAACTTAAGTTGTGTGCTAGGCCTCAAAAAAAATAGTATGTATAATTGTATAATCGAAGATAATAATTTTAATGTATGCTATTCAAAGAATCGTGCAACTGTAGCCTATTTTTATCTTTTTATCTTTAAATATCGAGAGGATTACTCGCATATGACTCATTCTGTATGATAGATTAATTACTCATATACTGAATTTATATCTGCAGATAAGTTATTTCAATTTATGAATATCTGATTATTTTAACACTCTTCACTGCAAAATAAATTTTGTTAACATTTTGTAATATTTTTTAATAATTTCATAAGATTTTTTTAAATATCATTTTTATATAAAATCACAAACGTTGCACGTGTGGTGGCCAAGCAATTTTCGTCTGGGTTTTTCAAGTATTTTTGTAGCATTTACATATCCTGCTCAAAAATGGCGCACCTATTGCTTGGCACGTTGTGCATGGAATAGAGAAAAAATCATTTAAAAAATTATTGGGTCCAAATGTAGAAAGTTCCATGTTTTTTTTTCGATACTTCGCCATATTTTAGTTAACTACTTTGCGTTGGGTACATGAAATCGATCGGACTTTCATATCCGTATATCTTCCCTAATTCAGTAAATTTAGAAATCCATGTATACTTTGACCAGAACTCTTGTGCAGAGTCTGCCTCAGGCGTCTATTGACTTCCACTAATTTTTATGAGGGCTTAACCAAAGACCCTTGTAAACTTGCCGCAGTCGAGATGGCTGGGAGGGGATTTGTCGAGATGGACCGCAATGAAAATTTTACTGCCATCTGTTTTACTCAAGACAGAGGTCGGGGTAAGTAGACAAGTTTACAACGGGGGGTGGCAGACTCCGCACAAGAGTTCAGATCAAAGTATAGCTTTATTTCTTAAAAGTAGTTGTAGGCATAAAAAAATCTGTGAAATTGGCGCATGTAATATTCTTTTTTTTTCTTACGTACATGCATTTTAAATTAGGTATAAATTTTGTGATGTAAAATTAAATGGGTTTTTGCCATTTTAGTAAAATAACGGGTGTTATTTGTGGACAATGGTTTTAATATTTCCAAATTATTGCCATACAGCCGTTGTATATTAAATCCGTAACCAGGTTGTATAGACTAACATATATACATTGTTTTAGCCGATAAATGTGTTTGGGTCGTCAGTGGTAAATTTTATTTACTGCACAAGCGGACTATTTAAAAAAACTACATATTGTGGTATTTAGATAGTTGTTTCATCTAATCCAAATGTTAATTATGTTATACTTTTAACTATTAGGACGTTATCTAACCTATTTTTCCAGGTTTTGCATTTTAATTTCTAATTGTTTATCTTCTTCACTAACGATAAATTCAGTAGTGCGTTTAATGTTGAATGATGCTTAAAAATGTGTCACTCAGAATGGATTACATGAATATTATTTTGTGGAATACTGCTGTTGAAATAAAAGCATTGTTGGTTATTCGAACAATACAAAGTTAGAGATACTTTTTCACGTAGGCCTGACCAAACTCTGTTTAATTTAATAAAAGCTTTGCGTTCTGTTGTGTATACAAATTTGTTCCCTAAGAGGATAATGTGTACAACTCTATTGATGATACATGAAATAGAAGTAATAACCTTTAGAAATGTCGGAGCTAAAAAACTCGAGCTAGAACTTACAAAAACTGGAAAATGTAATTTTAAAATTTAAGGTGTTTAACCAACCCAAATGACGGTAAATTTGCATTTTTGATAACATAACATCAACTTATGCAATCGATCTACCAGTCGCTAAAAGCGCACAAAAAACACTGCGTGCACAACTATGCCATTTTCAAGAGTGACGGATTTTAGACCGGCGTTAATCAATGGAACCTCACAGGAATGATCTCGGAATGGTAGTGAAACTGTTCACGGGACATAAACACGTGGACTATCTGTTTAAATGTCTAGAGCACATGTAGAATGTGCTAGGAGGACAATGCGACTGGCCAAATTCCGTGCTCCTGCTTAGCGGTGGCTGGAATCAGGAAAGCAAACTGTGGCGTCACATGGCATTGGAGATGCTCCCAGAAATTGTGTACTTATAGGACCGGGTACAATGGGGATAACATACAATGACACAAAGGGCCTGCGTGTATCTCTTTATTAAACTTAGGACTTCCTATTATAACTTCCACGAGTAAAGACAAATTCACAGCAATATACTAAAAAAAAAAAAAAAACTGTGTCGTGTTCTTATAATATCTACCATGCCCTAACATTATTCAGATTCACTAACAATTAATTCGCCACCTTTTGAAAATTATTTTGTAATTAATAAAGACGCTAATCCTTTGTAAGAGATCTTTCATCCCTTAATTAAAAATTCTTGAGAGCGAACTTCCTTAAATTAGTTTGCGATCCGTGAATCTTGTAAAAGTTATGAAGGACACTCCACTGTTCAACAACATCTGTCGCCAAACAAAACCTTCCTTATTTTCCATTCAACCCACATGTTACTTTCAATGGTGCTTGAATGTTGGTTACAATAAAATTCTTCGGTATTGCATTTGCATTTCATTTTCTTACACGGTTTCAACATCGAGATAATACAGGTGCTTATATCTTGTAATAAAAATTCTTCTGGTATTTTTGCAGCGTAATCTATTGATCTTTTTTAAAAAAGCGACAAGTGTACAAAAATTGTATACATACCCGGTTCTTCATTTTATTACTTTCCGACGTAGTGTTTTTCGACTTTACACCACCTTCTTTCATCTGTCATAAAATAGGTCAGTTTGTTATAACCCTAATATTTTAATAATGACTGTCACTCAATTGACAGTGCTCTATGAATTAATGAAACTTTGCACTCTGACAAATTGCAACATTTTTTCTAAATACGTAGAAAACACAGATTCAAACCAATTTTAGCGTGATCACCTTGTATGTGGTTTCATAGTGCACGTTAAAAAACGATACATGTACACGAAGATAACGTGACGTACATGACATATATATTAAAACATGACACGGGCGGGTAAGAACGTGTTACCTCCGGCAGAGTTACTTTTGAAGTAAATTAATATAGTGATACTAAATGCCAAAATTTTCCTGCGAAATACTTTTTACATTTTTAAACACAATTTTCTCCGCGGAAAAAAAATTATGTACTTTATACGGGCGGTAAGTGATTGCTCCATCACACTGCGGTGGGCCTGCAAATCTTGTGCGAGCTGCTTTATAATGTAATGTATCATTGTTGATTTGATTCGGTATATTAAATTTAATGATAACAATTTTAATATACTCTGCTATCAACACTTCGGTGGAAAATTGTTATGAAGAGATTCAGTAATATAAAAACTAGGGTTGTTTTAAAATTTTGCAACGTGGGACTATAAAGTTTCCAGTTGTGTTTTCTAGCGTTTTCATTTCTCTGCGTTGTTATTATTTGTTACGCTTTGGATATTTTCATACATTTGGTTTTAAACTTTCTATTAAATTAAAGTAGTAAGTGAGTAATTTAGTGGTGCTTTAGATAATAATAGATCGAATAATTTATACATTTCTTTTGTTCCAGTTAAAGTAAAAATATTTTTATATCTTATAAATGTCACCCATAAAATGAAGCGCTTAAGTGGTTTAAATAGTAATGATAAATCTTTAATAGCAATTCAAGTAGTTGCAGTTTAACCTTTACACAATTCCTATTTTGTCATTTGTCAATTGATTTTTGGGTGTCCATGCTGCAATTTACATCTCGCAAGTGTGATACGCTTTAAAATTTCGTATAATATCAATCAATTGTACAGTCTACAACATAAAAGTTCTTTTAACACAGTGATTGTAGAATTAGTTTTCATTTTTCATAGCAACGTAAATTTTGTACTTTTTTAGAAATACGAGTATATTTGTTGAATTAAAAGTGGATTTTTGTAAAATTAAACTGACGTTAAAAAACCGCGTGGGTCATTATTGCAATAATTTAAAAAATAACTTGTTTCGACTCTTAATATTTATGTATAAAGCTGTTTTTAAAATTCAACCTTTGAAAATCTTCGTGTGCGGCTCATATTACTTTCATTATCTCTTTCATTGATTATTACATTTTTCTGATATTTGTTATTCAAGTCTGCGGTATTCGCTTTATTGAGATATAGAAATTTATAGTATCATAAATATTATACATATTTATGCATTTGACATCATGATCGTGAATAATACTGCATGTTTCTGATTTATAGTAATTGGTATTCCTTTCTTTTTTATATTTCGAGATAATATAAAAATGCTGTAACCAACGTGGTTCCATTTTTATTTGGTATCGATTAATTTTGCCGTCGCTTTTTATTTTAACACAGGATATTCATGGATAAATGAAGTGGAAAGTTTTGGCATATTATTACACTGAGAGCTGTTAACCTGAAATAAAACGTTGAATTAATCTTTCTTGTCCAAGAGAGGATCAAATTAGACTAAAGTGGTACATTTTTAGCTCATACACATTTTAAACGATTATTTTCGGTAGGAGAAAACATGGTAAAATGTAAAATTTTGCGTAGGTTATTACTTCACAATATATTTGTATTTTTTTATTGTTAGTAAATGCCAAATTTCTGTTTAGCTCAAAATATGGATGGCCAACGTGCTTTAGAACTGATGCCTCTGCTGCAAGAGCGCCTAGTGATTTTGACTGGTGGCCGAGATAGACGTGGAGGCCCTGTGTTATCATTTCCTGCCAGTCCCCGTAGAGAACGTGCTAAACCGGAAGATTATAAACGTCTTCTGCAGTATTTAATGTCCATTCCCAAGTAAGTAGTACACGGATTTTTTAACCCTATTAAGTTTCAGTTTAATGTTATTTTGGAGCATCACGATTACTTAAAGAACCCACATTAATATATAATAATAAAGATAATAAGAGATTCCGTTGTAACAGTAATACAGATAGTTTTGCTACGTTGTATAAAATTTGTCGTTTAGCGTGGCTGGATCTCGGCGGTAATAAAGTAGCTGCGATTTGTTTTCGCAAATTTGTATTTTACGCTATTGTTAAATTAGATCTGCTTAACGTGTTTGTTGTTACACTTTCTAAGTTATCTATGAATGAATAACGGATATTGTAATACGGTCTGTTTCCACTTTACAGCATTCTGTAAACTGATCGTTACATTATTTACCAAAATGCCGTTTTCTCACGCACAAAGCCGGCATTATTTTTTTACAAGAATTTGTTTGTTTTTATTAACGTGACTTGGGGGATCGTCGCTTTAATTTTCTTTTTAATGTATACACATGTTGTAAACTTTGCCTTGTATTTCGGTCCTTTTTATGACAGGTTCTCCGTATTTGTTGATATTATTGAGGCTTAATAAGACCGACAGTTATAATATGGCGTGTCTAGAATATCTATTAAATAATAAAAAATAGTGGCTAGGTAGTCGTATCATGGAAGTACTACGTGCTCTTTTCATAAGAGAGACAAAATTTAATTTTTAAATATTTATGTTAAATGTTTATGCAATTAATAAAACGCAAAACAAAATTTTGTCACGCAAAGTTACAATGTAAATTTGAGCCAGGAGAATTAATTTGTTTTCGTTTTCTTCTTGAAAAAAGTCTGGCTAAATAGTTACAACGAACGCACACGTTTATTATATAATTATATAAGTCTTTAGTTTAAAAAAAGTAAATAAATCAAAACTATTTCGTAGCAATATCTTTCATTGATTTCATTATGTCATCAAATTTTTAATACTAAGTCTATTTTTTATTATTTACGTTAAATAATTCTTTTATAATGCAGATTAGATAATTATAATAAAGTCAAAGTTTGTTAAATTTACTTTATGATTTTTATTTGTTTATTTTTTTTGTGGGGGTTGGCTTGAGGTTCTAGAATAGGATGCAGATTTTCTGTTTTCACCTGTTTGACATCGGTATATTAAAACGATAACCTCTGGAGTTATTGAACAATTATCTACTTTACAATTTTAAATATACAAAAAATTATTATTAACGATGGTAAAATGCTAATCAAAATTGACCTGAATTTTTTAAAAACCGCTCTCGTTAACTTGACGCATAATGAGGATTGTTCTAAAAAATAAAATTAGAAGATTGGTTTTTATAATTATTTATACATAAGGAATTTCTTAAAATTTCATTGGACTAGACCATTTGAGTGATTACGACAATGTTGCATTAATGTGTACCATAATTATTAGGAATATTTATTGATCTTTCACAAAATTTGATGAATTTCAGAGCTTTTTTATTTCTTCAAAAACGTAGAACCCTTACGCCAACATTGCATCGTACTACCCACCATCAGTACTGTTACGAAATACACCCTTACGCCGCCCCAGTACGACGCCTATGGCGGTCGAGAGCCTTCTGGACGTACGCACGGCGCTGATGGGTGAATCATCGCTGTTGACGGCCGAGAGGCGGGCGCATAAAGACAGGTCTGGAGCGTCTCGAAGCGGCGTCCAGGGGAGTCTCGAAGCGGAGTCGCGATGGATGTTCGTGAAGGATCTCGATCAGAGACTATGGGTTTAAATAGAGGCGACCGTAGGTAATGGATTCATTCATCCAGTGAAGACAGTCGAGAGCGCCGGAATAGTTTCTGTACATATTCGTTGCTATAGATAGTGTTGTAATTCCAACTAAAGAAATACATTTTTGAGTTTTACCAACACCCGATTTATTATTCGTCCGTCAATCGTAACACTGGTGTCAGAAGTGGGATTAATTGTGAAATAAATCGGGATTCAAATTTGGTTGGTGCTACTAGGGGAGACCGGAACAAAGTGAACTTTCGAGAAAATTCTCTCCCGCGGTAAGAGTGGAATAACGGAATTAGACTTTCATCACCTGACATTGGCTTCGAGAATTGACATCTGTCAAGGCTCTAGAAGTTTCTAGAAGAAAATTTTATGCCGACTACCACAAGAGCGCAAACAGCCAACATGGAGGAACAACTGACAAAAATGATGAAAATGTTGAGCGAAAATCAAAGAATAATGGAAGAAAGTAGAAAAGAAGATCGAAGAATAATGGAAGAAAATAAAAAAGAAGATCGCAGAATAATGGAAGAAAATCAAAGAATAATGGAAGAAAATTTAAAAGCTATGCAAACTACACTTTTGAACAGCCGAAGCGAAATCCTCCAAGTCGTGCGAAATGAAGTGGACGAGGTGAGAAATGAAATGGAAAACAAGATCAAGGAGCTCGAAGAAAGGTTGCAAACACCACGACCTACAATTGCGACCCCTGCAGAATTCAGTCCGGTGAGAGTTCAACCCCCTATTTTCGATGGGCAGACGTCGTGGACTACTTATAAGAAGCAATTTGAAGCTGCGGCCTTGTCGAATAGCTGGAATGACCAACAGAAAGCGACCGCTTTGGTAGTAGCACTACGAGGTGCGGCCCTGGAGATTCTACAGACATTATCAGAAGAGAACCAGAAGGACTATACCGCTTTGACGACCGCCCTCGAACTCAGATTTGGAGATGAACACCTCCGGCAAGTTTTCGTAGCGCAGCTTAAATCTAGGATTCAGAAGAGTAGTGAATCTCTTCAGGAGTTTGCGGCTGATGTTAAACGTTTGGTACACCTCGCCTATCCTGAAGCTCCGCAAGACTTCCAAGACAGACTGGCAGCAGAAACCTTCGTAAACGGCGTAAGAGATAGTGAGGTAAGAAGAGTCCTGCAAATCTCCGGGTTCAAGAAACCATCCGAGGCGCTGATTCGAGCATTAGAAGTGGACGCCGCATACAACAGCTCACCTCGTTCCAACGTTAAGATACGAGGCATTGGGGTTGAGGGCGAAGTAAACCCTATTCAAGAGAGTCTCGACAAAATGAGCGAGAACTTTGAGAAACTCGCCCGCGAAATAATTGCCGAAATCAAGACGGGCAGTTCTAGACAACATGGAGGGCGCCTAGAATGTTACAGGTGTGGGCGTCAAGGGCATGTTAGGAGGGATTGCCGTGTTAGATCGCCAGCGCCGATGAGGAGATCGCAGCCGCGACCTCCTCTACATCAGGAGCAGGAAAACTAAAGGCAGTCGGTATCTCGGGGCGCGTACTGGCTGCTAAAAGAGAAGCCCCAACAACTGTAATGGTTAGAAGTATCGCGGGGAGCGTCGACAGTCCGACAATCAGCGGAAAAATCAATGGACGGGAATCGAAGATCATCATCGACACAGGAGCCGAAGTGTCCCTTGCACGCAGATCCAGGTTACAAAATTGCCAAATTAAATCAGTATATACCGCCACGAATGTAAAGACGGTGACAGGAGAAACAACACCGGTTCTGGGTACAGCGGTGGTGAATGTAGAGCTCGGTCGACTCCGAATAAGGCATGAAGTTCTGGTGGCGGAAATCGCTGACGATTTCATTCTGGGTATGGACCTAATCAGCCGGTATGGTTTAATGATCGACCCAGAACAGAAAATTCTGCGTTTTGGAGCCGAAGAATTTGTGCTGGGACGTCCGAATGTGGAAGCTGCAACGGTCAGACTAGTGGTCTGTCAGACAACGAAGGTAGATGGTAATGCAGAAGTCATCGTTCCCGCCAGAGTAGAGACAAACCCCGGATACAGTTTGGGGATGGTGCAGCCGGCAAGTGACTCGACCCACAAGCTCCTGATCGCGAGCACCCTAATCAAAACCGATCGTGACATACCCTTACGTGTGGCAAACGTGTTTCCCAATGCAGTCAATATTAGAAAAGGGGAGATTATCGGAATGTGTGAGCCAGTCGCCCGAGTATTGAACTGCGAGGAAGAAGACGTTGAGAATGAGTCTAAGGAAGGGGATACCAAAGGCTTGGAGGTCAACTGGGACCAGCTGTCTGCTCGTGAGAGAAAACTGGCCAAAGGACTCATTCGTAGGCACCGTAATGTCTTCGCCTCAGAGGAGGAACCATTCGGGAAGACCAACATCGTAGAACACCGAATAAACACTGGTGACACGCAACCGATCCGTCAGGCTCCTCGAAGACTACCCCTAGCCAAACAAGAAGAAGCTACAAGACTCGTGGACAACATGTTGAGAGATGGGGTAATTGAAGAATCCAACAGCGCGTGGTCATCTCCAGTAGTCTTGGTTACCAAGAAGGACGGGACTACCCGATTTTGCGTCGATTACAGGAAACTGAACGACGTCACGAAGAAAGACAGTTACCCCCTTCCTCGAATAGACGATACCTTGACGACCTTATCCGGCTCGGCGTGGTTTTCGACCTTGGACTTGAAGAGTGGCTACTGGCAAGTAGGCTTGCACCCGGACGACAAAGAAAAGACTGCGTTCTCCACCGGAAGTGGCCTCTATCACTTCACCGTTATGCCCTTCGGATTATGTAATGCGCCAGCAACATTCGAGCGGCTGATGGAGATGGTGCTGAAAGGATTGACATGGAAGACCTGTCTGGTATACCTCGACGACGTCATGATTATGGGCAAAACGTTTGACGACCATCTGAAGAATCTCGAGGAGGTGCTAGAACGAATGGAGAAGGCTCGTTTGAAACTAAATCCCAAGAAATGCTCGCTCTTCCAGAAAAGAGTCGAATTCCTGGGCCATATCGTGTCGGAGAAAGGAATAGAAACCAACCCGACGAAAGTTCTTGCTATCCGGGATTGGCCCATACCAAGAGACAAGCATGAACTACGAAGCTTCTTGGGACTCTGCACATATTACCGACGATTTGTGGAAGGGTATGCCGACATCGCAGCACCGTTACACCAACTGACGGAGCAGAAGGCGACTTTCAAGTGGAGCAGTACATGTGAGATGGCCTTT